GTTAAACTGCTCCAGTATCTCTGCCAAGAAAACCCCAAACAGGATCGTGAAGAGTCAGACATGACTGCAAATGAGTCAACAACAATAACATGTTCCAGGCGTTGTGATAACTGCTGAGGATGCAATGAAAGGAAACAAAATGCACAACCCTTAGTCCCAAAGAGCTCGGAGTCTAACGGGGAGGACAACGTGTAGACACTGCAAATTGGAGGACTTCTCCTAGAAGCTGGGATTCAGCTGGGACTTAAAGGAAGCCTGGAGGTGGAGATGAGAGGGGAGAGGGGGAGAGGGAGAGGGAGAGGGAGAGAGCGAGGGAGGGAGAGAGAGAGAGAGAGAGGGAGAGAGGGAGAGAGAGAAGGGAGAAGAGTAAGAGAGAATAAAGAATAAGAGAGGAGAGAGAGGGAGAAGGAGAGGGAGGGGGGAAGAGAGAGAGAGAGAGAGAGGCAGAGAGAGACAGAGAGAGGGAGAGAAAGAATATTCCAGGTGGGGGGTAGGGCAGAGAAAGTGTCTGGAGGCAGGAGATGGAGGGTCTTGATTAAGGAGCAGCAGCAAAGCCAGTGTGGGGGTGGGGGGAAGGAGGGAGGGGGCAGTGGTGTGAGGTATGAGAAGCCTGGAAAGGTAGGAGAGGGTCAAGTCATGAAGGACTTTGAATGCCAAACAGATATTTGCTCTTGAAGGTGATCATCACTGGAGGGGGGGGAAGGGAATCTCCCAGGATGAATAGGCATAGATGGGTTGGGTCCTCACTTTACATCTCATTACATTCTCTCCCCTCCCCACACACTTTTCTCTCACCAACTTTCCCATTTCTATTAAGGGAGCCCAGTCTTCTGGTTGCTCAGGTTCACCCCCTCTGGGTCATCCTCAGCTCTTCTCTGTCCTTCACCCCACCCCCATCTAACATCCAATCAGTGACCAGGTCTAGTCATTTCTATGTTCACATAGCCATCCCCTTCTCTTTACTCACCCAACCACCACCTTCTCATTGGTCTCCCTGCCTCAAGTCTTTGCCCTCTCTCCTCTTGGTAGAACTAAAGCATAGATTGGGTCACATCCCTCCCCTGCTCATTAAACTACACTGGCTCCCTATTCACTCTAGAATCAAATTTTATGTCATCACTGTCTCATCCTTTTTATGTTCTATTTTGTGCAAGTTTTCTAATGTATACAACTAGTATAACTAGTTAATGTAACTAGTTATAACTAGTTAATGTATATGTATATGTATATAATATACATATAATGTACATAATTTTCATAAATAAATCACCATACACATATTGAGGGTACAGGCACATTTTCTATTAATAAGGTATAAATTAACCACTGCTCTAGAACCTCCAGGGAACTATCTCAGGGCAAAAATTCTTTTTCTTTTTTTCTTCCAAATTGGGGCGGGAAGGGAATGGCGACCTGGAGTTCTTTGTTTGGGAGAGGGAAAGAGATAATTATCATAAAAATTCAAAACTAAAGGAGTCACTGTCTGTTTACTGGAGTGGGGCCACAGAGGAGTAGATTGACACATCCCATCCATGAACAATGGCAGAGTTGATTTGATTTGGTTTATGGTTCCAGACCTGGAGTTGGTAGGGGAGGGAGAGGGTGGCCAGGTGGAGGAGGGGGTGAACTGAAGTCTTTGGGGTCTTTTCTAAAGTAGGATAGCGGGCTCTTTCAGGGCATTGTCTCTGCCTTGGGCTGCCAGACAGTGGAAGTTGGCAAGGAGGCTCTGGAGGAGGTGAACAGAGATGAGAGAAGACTTTTAGTTTTCTTCTCTGGGATCGGTCAAGCAAGTCCCCTCCCTCTTCCCCATGAAAGTATTAGGTATTTTTAGGTGACCAGCTCCATCCCATCACCCTGACCAAGTCATTTCTTCATCGGTTAAAGAATGTTGAAGATTCTTTTCCCTTTGGTCTTGGTTTGATCCAAGCATTCAGCAACATTTCAGGACCTGAAGCCCCCAAATCAATATATTAGTCCATGGGGGCAACATGCCTGTTCTCTTTCTCTGTCCCATCAAAATCCATATTATTCCAGCCATCTGCCTGCAATCCCCTAGTCCCAAACTGGACTTGTCAGGTACTACTGGAAATGAGCCAGAAGCCATCCAGTCTCCAGCTCAATCACAGAAACATAGCTGGAAGAAACCTTCATTCTCCTCATTTTACAGATGGAATATTGAGGATGAGATTGAGGAAGGAGCTTACCTAAGATCACACAGGCAATAAGAGGCAGATCTGGGACTGCTGCCCCTTCCATCACACCATGCAAAAAGGAACCAGAGGAAATTGCAAGATGTCTGTCTATTTATAGCCCTAACCCCCCTCCCCAGCCCTGGCTCAGGTGTTACAGGGAGTCTGGAGAAGAAAGCAGAGCCTCTACCCTCTGAGGGCTTACAGTTCAGTCAAGATTCCCAACCCAAAGAGCCTGGGACCAGCTCATTACTGATCTCAGGTGCTGTCTATGACAGTAGAGGGCTGGAGGAGGCAGGGTGGGTTACCTCTTAGGCATTGGTGCCCTAGAAAGCTTGGCATGGAGGGGCTGGGCTGGCTGAAGGTGTGCCCCTCCCCCTCCCCACAGAAGCACAGAGACCAGCCCCAGGTGCCCTGGCCCCATTGGCCTCCAGCAGGTGGGTGGTCAGAGCTCCTCCCCAGGCACTGAGTGGCTGGCCCAAACTCCCAGGGCCCTCCCAGCAGCCCCAGCCCAGACCTTCTTCTTACAGGGAGTGAGTCCTTAGAGCTGAGTGCTGACTTCTGCCTCTCATCTAGTGGGCCCTTTGAATTATAAATGAAAAGATGTCGCCTGCCTCCCCCCTCCACTTCCCCTTGGCCCCCTCTTTTCTGCTCTTTGCTGCTTCTCTGACCTGAAATCACAGGGCTCCTGCACCAGGATCAAAGGCAGCTGGGAAGCTGGCCCCAGGGATCCATCCCTCTGCAGCAGGAGCCAGAGCATTCTTCCCAGGGAGAGCAAGGGGCTGGGGCTGCACGTTTCCCTGCTCCGGCTCTTCCCTCCCCACCCTCTCTCACACTCACCCATGAGACCCAAACAAATGCTCTCTGCCAGCAAGGCAGACTCATGTTGTTCTTCCTCCCCCCGCCCTACCTCTGCCGCCCTTCCCTTTCTCGATCCCAACACTTCCTGCCTGCTCAGATTGAGAGTCTCAGGAGCTCCTACAAAGAGTTTTCCTCTATATGAAACTGGGGGAGGGAAGAGTGGACCACAAGCTTAATATGAGTCAGTAGAGTGAGGTGGAAGTCAATCAATCAGCCAACTGACAAGCATTTATTTAGCATCTCTTATGTGCCAAAGCCAAAAAAAAAAAAAGGAAAAGAGGGAGGAAGGGAGGGAGGAAGGGAAGGAGGGAGGGAGGAAGGGAAGGAGGGAAGGGGGAAGGAGGGAGGGAGGAAGGAAGGAAGGAAAGGATGAAGGAAGGAAGAGAGGGAGGGAGGGAGGGAGGGGGAAGGGAGGGGAGAAGGAAGGGAGGGAGGGCGGAAGGGAGGGAGGAAGGGAGGGAGGGAGGAAGGAAGGAAGTAAAGAAAGAAGGAAGGAAGGAAAGAATGAAGGAAGGAAGAGAGGGAGGGGGGAGGGAGAGAAGGAAGGGAGGGGGGAGGGAGAGAAGGAAGGGAGAGAGGGGGAGAAGAAGGGAGGGAGGGGAGAAGGAAGGGAGGGAGGGGAGAAGGAAGGGAGGGAGGGGAGAAGGAAGGGAGGGAGGGAGGGGAGAAGGAAGGAAAGGGAGGAAAAGAGGGAGGGAGGAAAAGAAGGAGGGAGGGAGGAAAAGAGGGAGGGAGGAAGGAAGGAAAGAAAGAATGAAGGGAGGGAGAGAAGAAGGGAGGAAAAGGAGGAAAAGAGGGAGGAAGGAAGGGAGGGAGGGAGGGAGGGAGAGAGAAGTAAGGAAGGAAGGAAGGAAGGGAGGAAGGGAGGGAGGGGAGAAGGAAGGGAGGAAAAGGATGAAAAGAGGGAAGGAGGGAGGAAGGAAGGGAGGAAGGGAAAGAGGAAGGGAGGGAAAGAGGGAGGGAAGAAGGAAGGGAGGAAGGGAAGGCATTTACTAAGCATTATTCTATGAGCTGAGGACGTGAATATTAAAGCAAAGCCCATCTGAATTCAAGGAGCTTATATTCTATTTTTGGAGTCAGCACATAGTGGAGAGTGGTGGCCTGGTCTGGAAAGTCCCAAGCCCCAGTGTTCAGGAGAGTAATGACAGAGCAGCCCAGTAACACCATTTCAGAAGACAAAGGTGGTGGTGATTCGATGGCAGTTTTCAGAGGAAGAGGCAGAAGAGGGTGGAGGGGTGGGGAAGAAGCTGGTGGCCAGAGGGAAGGCTCAGTTCTGGCTACTGTATTGATCCAAAGGAGAAACTCTGGCTAACCGGGAGCAGCCAGGATATCAAATGATGCCAAGACCAGACCTTAGGAGTCTCAATGTGAGGAACTGGGCCTGTTTAGCTAGAGAACGAAAGGCTGGGGGTCAGAGGGGGTGGAACACCCATGACAATGCTGCTTCTGATAACAACAAAGACAATAATTACAATAGCTGTGGTTGCTCCCCTTTCTGAACACTGGGATTTTTTCCAAGCCACTTTCCTTACCACCATTCTATGATCTTTACTTGACAAATGAGACTGAGGGTCACAGAGAGAAGTGACTTACTCAAGTTCACGTAGCTAGTTCATGTCTGAGGCGGCATTCAAGCTCGAGTCTCCTGACATGCAGGTCCCATTCTCTCTCTATCAGTTCACCATTGTGACTGCTATTAGGACCTAACTGTCCTAGCACGGTATGAGGGTGCTTGGGTCCAAGTTCCAGATCTTCTGGCTATCCCATCTGTGACCTTGAGCACCGCCTCCCTGACCTCAGTTTCCTCCTCTAAGGGCCCTTCCAGCTCAATCTAAGACCCCTCATCTCATGGGGATGGGGTGAGGAGTGCTGCTGAACAGTGCAGGGAAGGGCTTCTGCACAAGGTCTGGAGACATCTTTAACCTATGCCCTCTCCTCTCTCCTCCACAGGGCTTGTGAAGTTGGGGGTTCACTGCGTCACCTGCCAAAAGGTCGCGATCAAAATTGTGAACCGAGAGAAGCTCAGCGAGTCAGTGCTGATGAAGGTAAGAGCCAGGCTGGGCTGGGGGAATGGGAAGTCCAAGATGGTGCCACCTGACTAAGGCAGTCCAATGGCTTTCAGGGTCCATGAAGGTCATGTGTGATGCAATGGGAAGTCAAAGGGGGCAGATGTGGGCAGGAATGGGCAGTCAGTACAAGAATCTGAGCTGTAAAGGCGCTCCCACTGGCCTCCCCCATTGCTGCCTCCAGGCGCTCTTCTTTCTTTCTTCAGGTCAAGTCAACTAGTATTTATAAAGTGCCTACTATGTGCTAGAAAGGCACTGTTAAGCTCTAGAGATACACAGACAAATGCCAGTCGAGGAGCTCACAAAGTGGAGAGAGGGAGATAATAACATTGTACAAACAAGCTCTAGCCACGATAAACTGGGGCTAGTCAAGACAGGAAGGGCACCAGCATTACAGGGAAACGGGGATTTCAGCTGCAACTCAAAAAAGCTGCAACTGGCCAGTGAGACAAGAAGCAGAGGAGCAGGGGACAGCCCATGCCAAGGCAACCTCAGTTTGTCAAATCCTTGCCCTGGACTCCCTCACTGTCCCCGGCTTCCAGGTAGGCATCATCCTGGCTCCCTCTCTGAGCTCCTCCATCTCCTTGAATGGTTCCCCTTCCCCCCCCCCCCGCCCCCCCCCTCTTCTTTCCCCTCCCCCTTCTCTCCCCCTTCCTCCTCCTCTCCCTCCCCCCTTCCCCTCTTGTTTCCTCTCCTTCTTCTCCCATGTGCATGATCAGGTGGCCCCAGGGTTTGTCAGACAATCCATTCCTCTCCTTCATCCTCCATATGTTCTCTCCCTCAGAAACTTGCTCCCTTGAGGCAGAGGACCCACCCCATCCCCTGATGGAGCCTGGGCCTCTCTTCCAAGCTCCAGACCCTCATCTCCAGCTGCCTGCTCATGACTTCCCTGCATGTGCCACTAGCACCTTGAGATCATCACATCTAAGCCTTGAATCCTCATCTCCTTGGGGTAGCCAATGGTACCCCCAGTCCCTGGGGCCTTCCATGTTTGAGTTCTTGGTGTTTAACTCTTCCCCCTGGCTTCCTCCTAGCTTCAGACTTTCTAGTCTGGGTGACCCTGGGCAAGCATCTTCAATTCCCTCTGCCTCAGTTTCCTCAACTGTGAAATGAGGGTAATAGCCCCTCCCTCCCAGGGTGGTTGTGAAGATCAAAGGAGATCATAATTGTGAAGTACTTAGCCCAGTGCCTGGCATACATTAGGTGCATAATGGATGCTTGCTTCCTTCTGCCTTTTCCCACCATGCTGCCTGTGCCCTGTGCCTGTAACCCACCCTTAAACTTTGATTTCTAACTCAAGGTCACATACCAACAAAAGAAAAGAATGTTTGTAGGAGCCTTTCTTTGGCGACCAGGGGCCTATGAGATGTTTATGCTGAGACTGGGACCACTACAGGGTCAGTGCATTCACCTGGTCTCCTTCTCGCTGGCCTGGCTGTCTAGGCTGGCTGGGGCCACCAGGGGGCAGCCCTGCCCCTGCCCTGCTCAGGAGAGCCCAAACCAGACCATACAGAGAAGCCCAGGGGTTAGTGACGCTCCCTGCGCAGAAAAACCAGGGCCAGAGCCACGCAAACAAAATTCCATCCCAAGGCTAATGCTCAGTCTGGGGAAAACTGCCTGACAAGATCCAGAGCATTCAGTGCCTCAGGTCATAATAGCCTGGAAGTGGGAGGAAAGAACCCTTGATGCCTGCAGTGACTTCTACGGGACAAGGGAATGCAGGGAAGCAGAAAGATTGTGGGGTGCCGGCCATGGGGCCCCTGAGGAGGGAAGCCTCCTCCTCAGCCTTGGTGGGCTGGGTACTCTCCAGCCTCCTAGAACCTCAGGAAGAGCCCCAGGAAAGGCTGAGCCTCGCCTCCTTACCTGCCCTGGAGCCCAAGGCCCTTCCTACTGCACTTCTGCATCGCTTAGTGTCCCTTGTGCCCCTCAGTCCAGCCCTGATGAGCTTGCACCTCTGAGCCAAACTGACCACTAGACAGCTGTTTTTCCAGGTGTTTGTTTCTCAAAGGTGGCTTGAGTGGGGAGCTAGGTCGAAGGAACAGGCACCCAGCAGGAAGAGGGCCACTCCTTTATCATTAGATGGTGAGCTCCCCGAAGGCAGCGCCTGTCTTCTATCTCTTTTTGTATCCCCAGTGCTTAGCATGGTGCCTGGCACATAGTAGGTGCTTCATAAACACAGACCTGGTGTCACCCAAGTGAGGGGACAGGCTTACCCAAGGCCCTGGTCTCTCCTCCCCAGTCACTGCTGCCGGGGATCTGGCTGGCCCCTCATGACCGACTCTGTTCCTTCTGCCAGCCCTAGCCCCTCCACAGCCTGCAGCTGCTCCCTCCCTGCTCTGAGCGGCTTCCGGAGGCCTTCTCTAAAGTGCTCAGTAATCATCACACGAGCCTGGGGCCCATCAATATTTCAGGAGCTAGGCCTTCGAAGGGAAGCAGCTGGTCTCAATTAAGGAAACCTCAGCCATGCCTCAGGGGCAGCTGCCCAGGGACTCGAGGAGTGTGGCACACGCTGGAGTGGGTTCCATGAGCTGAGACCTCTGTGCAGACTCAGGGCTGAGCCCCCCGGGCCCAGGTGACTCTGATAGGGCTTGGCTTGTAACCACTCACAGGAGCTCTGAGCTGGAGGGCACCTTGGGCACCTCTCTAGCCTCACCAAAGAGTAGGTATGCAGTGTCTGCCTGACCTCCAGGGGGTGCTGCTCACTACCACTCAAGATCACCCATTCCCTCTTAGACACCCCAACTCCCGGGAGGTTCTTCTCACCCCTAAATCCACCCCTTTGGAGCTTTCCTTTTCCATGGGCCAATTCAGAGCGTGCTTGGGTACAGCCACCATGTTCTCCCCTTCAAGTGAAACATTCCTAGGTCCTTCATCAGACCTTCATAGAATGATTCCAAAGTCCTTCACCACCTTCATCACCTCCTCTGGACCCTCACTAGTTCCTCAATCTGTCAACAAGAGGATGGAAGGGAGGGAGGGAGGGAGAGAGGAGGGAGGAAGGATAGAAGCAAGGGAGGGAGGGAAGGACAGAAGGAAAGAAGGAAGAAGGGAGAGAGGAGGGAGGAAGG